GCAGCCTCCAACACCAGAAAAGCTCGGACTTTTTTTACCCCCCTCCCCTTGATTTATACCAGCTATACTGTGTGTACTACCTGCATACTAGCGTAATGCATGTTAATTAATAAATATATTTGTTAGATCCTTAAGTGATGTTTTAGACAGAAGGAGTTGTTAGGAACATGCATCTGTTCCAAAAACACCAATAGCAACCTTAAGCTATAGCATTTTTTTCGGCTCCGAAGACACTCAGGCTGCTCAAACGCACCATTTTTTCTGCTCCAGAATCTGCTCCATAAAGCAAAGTGTCGCTTCCATCACTGCTAATGGAATGAAGGGCAAAATACATAAGAACGTAGCTAGAATAGATAAAAAGAACATTTATTTCACTTCGAATAAGGTATGCCAGTGGGTTAATTTGCAGAGCCAGTGTGCATTAGAAATGCTACCTGCCTGGCCTATTGGCTCTCGATATTCTGCACTCGCGGTAAGGGAACATGCACGTATTTAATACCAAGAAATTTTAGGCCCGTGTGCTCAGATTTGGCTGCACGCTAAAGAACCCCAGGTGGTCGAAATTTCTGGAGCCCTCCACTACGGCAGCTCTCGTAATAGTATGGTGGTTTGGGGACGTTGAACCCCACATATCAATCAATACCAAGAAATTGCCTTTTTACCGACCATTAGGTTTACTGTTTTGCAAGCTCTGAATGGCCCAGCAAACTGCTATTACAACCTCCCTCAACGGCTCAAAAACCACCCCGGCAGAATTTTGCAAGGAAAACTTGAGACGTCATGTTTGACATGATGCCGTCACATAATGTAATTAAGTGACGTCATCCATAAAGCAGTTATGTATTTATTAATATATATATATATATAGCCAATCTACAAATTAAATGAGGAAATGAAGCTTTGCCATTGAAAGGGTCGTACACATGAGTTTTTGAACACATTTTTACAAATAAGGAAGCCATTTTCTGTGTGAGATGAGAGTTCCTTTTATTGAGACTTGACTAAGGTTGTTGAAATGCAGGGGATGAAAGGTGACGTGAAAAGTCTACTGGCAAGGCCTTTAACCAGGTGGTTCACAGCTAGATATGGAATTGTGGGATATAATTAAAAGTAGATTCTCAGGACTGTTATAAGTCACAATGTCAAACATGACAGGCCGAACATAAAGCCACATTCAAACGTATTCGATACAAGGGGAAAAGATGCAAATGAATACATTCAATTAATCCCTGTAATAAACTAGACAATAGGCAAGCAATTATCCTAATGGCTGGATCCCAGGGCCTCTCCAAATAAAAAACAAGGTTCTGAAGAGCCATTATAAGCAATTTGTATTAATGTTTTGCGTACACTGGGCATTTGCTCTGTCATACTTTAAAAAGGTGCTGCAACACTGTATATATAACTTGTCAATATCGTTGATTGGGCGAGTTGGTGATTCATGATTACTTGAAATACGAGTGCATAACATAGACAGGGACTAAGTCGGACAAGGACAAGTGCACACTACCAACTGAATGTTGATTCGAAAGCTGTGACATATATGTACTGACAGATAAAAGTTCCGTCTGCAGATAGGATAAGAGCAATCAACGAAAATGTTTAAAAAATAATGGGCTTTGGCAAGGTGGGGCACTTATAGTTTTAACTTCCCCATTTTGCCAAAGCCCGCCTTGCCTTGCCAAAATCATTTTACGCTCCTTAGAGTTATTAGATCGAAGTGTGCTCATTCATATAGAATGCACCAACCAGTTCGGTGAAGTGGCATGTTTTGACAGCATGGGCATGAGTGCACACGGTTTTCTAGACTTATTGGGCGTGCATCCCAAGTCTATAAATGTGGATTGGAATGACAATGTGTATCTGCAAAAAAAAGGGTGTCGATTACGGTATGTCTTCGCTTTTGAGCAATTTGTGGCTGACGAAGTTCGACAGGGTGGTTGATGAAGAAATAATGAGCACTGCCATGAAGAAAGGGTTTAGGTTTGTTAATTTTTTTAGTCTTATTGTGATATGCAAAGTTTTTTGTCTCAGGCCGGTAAGGTGCAGTCTGCTGTCCCTCTTTAGAGAACACCTGAATCCACTCTTATTGACTCACAAAATTCCATAATACTTATCCATCACGTTTCTTGACCGGGCACTTACGTTTCATGTGGAACATACATGCTGGGTGTATGAGCAATGCGCAGGTAAACTGCTGTGGCCGTACACATCTGCTCATAGCAATCTTGTTAAAAGAGGCATTGTGAATAGCTGTTTCAGTGATGCAAATCACAGTTCTTGTGTTCTTGCGTTAGAAGCCAACTTCCACAATCGCATCGCTAGGCTTATGTCAGCAGAGTATCCTGAGCCGGTCTTGGTTTTCGTGGCCGAAGGCATCCGTAGAAAGCAGAAGGCTAAAGAAGGTGTAAGCAAGGGTGTGGAAAAGCGAGACAACAGCAACCATGAAAAAGAATGAAATATCTGTTGTTCCTTACATGCATCATTTCACTATTCATTTAAAAACGATTGGGCAATGCATGGGAGGGCATGAAGTTTCCTCAGCACAACACTAGGTTTCTCAGCTGGCAAAGTTGACGTGTGCTGGTAGATGCAATAATAAACAATTGTACAAACCAAAGCACAAAACTCACTTTGTCAATTGTGTCGGATGCGTTGATTACAGAATCCCACTCTCATGTGGTACCTGTTATACTGGAAAAACTGGAAGATACCTTAATAAAAAATTGTGCGAGCATGCATGCAACGTGTGCAACAACAATGGTTTTCTAGCCCAACATGTCAGCAGATGTGAATTAAAGTGCTGTCTAACTGAACCAACTCTGGTTGGTATGCATAAGGGTGACCATACAAGAGTAATCATTGAGGCTGCAAGCATAGTGCGAGTCAACTCTACTTGTGTGAGTAAACTGTCAGTTGCTCTGTCTGATAAGAAGCTTTCATTTTTGTACAGTGGCAGATGTCATACGCATTCAACCATTTCGGCAAGGCAAAGCGGGCTTTGGCAAAGCGGTGCAGTTATATTTTTATCGTTTTTGTACTCTTTTTGTTGTATGTTCTTATCATATTTTCTGACTGTTTTTATTTGTCAGTATGTAACAGCTTTCCGAAGAAACTTCTAGTTGGTGGTACATGCTTGTCCTTGTCGAACTTGGTCCCCGCCTACGTTGTGCTCGTACTTTAAGTAATTGCATATAAGGATGAAGTTTTTTTTCTGTGACCTTATTTTTCTCGAACTTCATCACTGCAAACAATTTTTGCATATCCTCAAAGCTACGACAAGGCACCTCCTGCTCTCATCACCAATTTAAAGCCATTCTTGTATGTCTGAAGAAAACTTGCACTTGCAGAGTCACTTGCAGGCTTCAAAAAGGCATTCTAATAAGCCATTCGCTTTTGAGGTCTGTCTCAACTTCTGACACAGAAGGTGGGTGCTGTAATTCCGTGAGCAATGTGTGCGTGCTAAATGGTCTCACTGTTTAGGTCAGATAGATGCTATTAGTAAATGTTTTGAATCGTCTGCTAATCCTTTACAAATATACTTGAACAACTCCAACCACATAAGTAAAACTAGAGCAATCGTACTATGAGCTCCATTTTGGTGTGCACAGCATAAAGGAATAAATCTCGATTTTAAGCAGTGTAGCAGGCTGCATTGCTACACTGTTTCCACTTCATTAGACACTCAGCAATCATTCCCACTCTGAGACACACTCAAGTGAACAATATGCATATTTATCTTGTGTTTGATGTATTACTAATGATATAACTGCTACTACTATAGTACTAGAATGCAAGGGTTATTTCCTAATTGTAAAATCAGCTGTTCAATCGGTAAATCTCCTACAGTAACAAACTAATCAACACGCACCATTATAACGGTGATCGAATGGGTGTACCGCATAATATAGAGGAACATGTTTTCATGCAAGCTCCCATAGGATCATACACAATTACAAATAAACATGTATTCTTCAACCCCTAATGCACATTATCATTTACGAAGATGAAGCACTGTCCCATTTATTGCAGCTGGTGCTGACTGGATGATTCGATATTCTAGGAGCCAGCGGCATGACATGTTCTTGTCCTTTACAGTGACAGTTGCATTGTACCAGTCAAAGATGCTATCATGTTCGTGCGCACGCTCAGCAATGTCGCTGTCGTCGCCAAGAAAAAAGAACATGTCATCCCGCCGGCGCCTAGAATCTCTAACCATCCAGTCAACGCCTGCTACAATGAATAGGACGATAGGGACTATGCCTGCTTTCTATGCATGCTCGTTGAGTCACCTACTGGCTACATAATTGACTGCATAGTGTCCAAAACAAACACCCCATATGCGGTTATAGAATGTTAGATAATAAGAAGACTGTCAGTAACAGTGTTTTATTTCATCAAATGCCTGACCAAACAAACTTGCACTGAACTCTTGACCAGATTATCATTTACCGAATATCAATTTCATTCAAACCTCTGCTAAAAATCTGGCATATATTTCTTTTGCTGAACACAACTGCAGTCAATGCTGCTTATACACACAGCTTGTCTCAAGCCAAGTCCTGAAATTACACTCACAATACCTCTGTCACAATCATCATCAATTGCTTCTCTAGACTGAAGCCATAAACAGTGGCTAACATGCTCATTGTCAGCAATGTATTTGTACTTCCTTCAAAATCAAGGACCTTCAATGTGTTATGCCTTGTTTATTGTGAAAATGTCATACATATCTTCGTACTCACATGCAGGTAAAAATTCTACAGTTCACAGCATATTATACAATTGGTAGTTATGCCATGTTTATTGTGAAAATCTTCCACATATCTGCACTCCTATGCATTTTTCAGCTCAGAGAATTATACAACAATTGGTACCTTTGGGTACATCGACGACATTATGGCATGAAAAAAATCAGTGACTAGAAACTGTGGAGCAAGTACTTTCTCCTTCCCTTACAAAATAAACTGGGAGATCGCAGCAGTTGTCGAGGGCAGCAACAGCCTAACCATTGGCGTTTCCGCCTTTGCTCTGCCTGGCCACCTTGCCAGAACCATCAATTGCTTCTGTAGACTGAAGCCATGAACAGTGCTTAACATGCTCATTATCAGCAATTAATTCATACTTACTGTAAAATCGAAGAACTTCAACATGTTATGCCACACTTATTGTGAAAATCTACATATCTCTGTACCCATATGCATATGAAAAACCTTACAGCTTAGCGTACTAAACAACAATCGCTAGCCTTGAGTACATCAAAGACATTAATTTAATGCATGAAGACAGTTCGTGACAAGAAACTGCGAACCGGCTACGTTTTTTTTACCTGATAAACAAAAAAAAAACAACCAGGAGATCACAGCATTTGCCGAGGGCAGCCGCAACAGCCTAGCGACTGGGATTTCTGCCTTTGCTCTCTCTGGAAGCTTTGTTTCCTCTGGCAGAGCACAGAGACTCGTGCCTTGCCAACTATCAGCTGCTCCATCGAATCCACGTGGCCATTCAGCTCCACCACCTTATCGCAGTGGGTGCGCAGCCGGCCTCTCTGCATGCACAGCTGGTACCGGGTCAACGCTCTGAAAATTTAGAAACAATATGTCACTCATCTAGTTCAAATCAAATCAATCTTCATTTCCTAACGTGTCTTTTTCTTCAACAAGTCGGTGGTCACGCAGGCAAAAGGCAGTTAAAAGAACCACTTGAGAATGCCCAAGGGCCCATATGTACATGACAGCAGTTTCAGAATTCAAACCTTTAACAAATGATAGTACAAGAACAGCAGGAAAAGAACAAAAAAATTTGCAGAATATCATATAAATAGAAGAATAGAACAAACAGACACAGCGCAAACTAAACTATGTATCAGCACTCATGAATACAATGAACAACAAACTGCGATAAAGACAAAGATCACGATACAAAGTGTCAGGATTTAAAAAAATTGACTTGAGCGCAAACACAAGGCACATTCGTGTACACACACACCCTGGCATCAAACACTGCACAGCGCTCACTTCAGAATGATTCATTTCTAACACTATATACATGGGGAGCATGCGCGCATTAACGTCATAGAAAGCCAACAGCATACACTATCAAGATGTACAGTTTATCATCTCGCAGCCTAGAACCAATAAGATGGGGTACACTAGGCAACAAAAATAGGGAAGGGGCACTTACACAATGATCCTTTTTTTTTTTCTATGAAAAAGGCCTCTAACACTTCAGATGCAATTTTTCTTCTGCTTCTGCCTAGAATACTTTATTTCATTCTGGTGACATATTATACATCTTAAAAAAAGCACTAAAAACAGCTTGAACACCTTACCAGGCATATTAGCCTACTCTGTGAAATTCGTTAATCAAGAATACTAGTGAACACAGACTACAGATGGACAGAACAACACAACAGTAATAATGTTGGGTGTTTTACATACCAAAATCATACGATTGCGAGATAAACCCTTTGACCATCTGGTTTTCATTATTGTGCACTGGCATCGCACAGTACAGAGGTCCTTCCTATTTCGCCTCCATCAAAAGGTGTCTGCCGCGGGGATCGAACCCGTGACATTCAGGTCTGCGGCTGAGAGCCATAACCACTGCACCACAGCACAGCTGTTTTTCAAGCACCAGCAATATGCGTGACAGTACCTACGGCGAATCTAAAACAGCGTGCAGTCAGCAACAGCTGTATTTTCTCGCATATCCCCCACCTCTGCTTGTAACGCACACCCCTAATTCTAACTATACAAAAAGAAAAGAATATGCATCTAACTTTTACATTTAACCCATGCAGCCCACGTATTAAGCAGATTTATGTGTTTTTTTCCCAAATGGTTACATGCGAGAAAATATGCTATATCTGTAGTGCAAGTTCACATAATGAACAGCCTGGCTCTGCAAGATTTATGTACTTTAGAACACATAACATGGTGACACACAGGTCCATTCAACTAAATGCCTCCACACAATCACTCGGACAGAAATGAGCATTCATAATTGTCACACCTTTGCAACTGTGCAGATACCTCTCACTGCAGTAAAAAAATAATGAATAAAAAAATGTTTTGCCATTTGATGTGCATGGCACTTACAGTGGCATTTAAAGTTCACATGTATTACAAACACCACTGACCATTTGGAAATGGTCATTAATACATATGTTACTAAAACAGTGCCTCAAAATTACCTGAAATAGACTTGGTTTTGTGATTGCAAAAGTGTTGCTTAAGGTTATCTTGAGGCACATTACTATTAATTACCTAATAACTTTTTACTTATTAAGGGCAATAGGTTGAACATCAGACATGTCCAATTTCGGCTCAAGTAAAATGGGATCAAAGAATTAGGATGCCTTGGAGATGTCTATATGAGCAATATGCTTTGCCTGATAACTAGCAATACATAGGTATACTTGCTCTAGAAAGGTAAACTTTTGCTAGCACCTTTTGCATGACCCACACTGTGAAACAGCTAAATTTGTCTAAAAATCAGAGGTCTCGTATAACTATCCTCGGTTTAACGTACCCCACGAGACTATGATATCATCATGAGGAATGCCGTGGCAGAGGGCTCCGGAAATTTCGATCATGTCCTGTCCTTTAATGTGCACTGACATTACCCATTTGGCGTTTCGCCTCCACGCAACTGCACCCACCACGACCGGAATCGAAATTGCTACCTGTTAGGACAGCATCGTAACCCCTACATCACTGCGGGAGACACTTTTAGTTAAAAGGCTGCAGTAAAAAGTACATATCCTGTCGAAGGCCTGGGCGGTCGAAAAAATGGTAGCAAGGTAGAGGAGAGGGGGGGGGGAAGAGTTTGATCAAAATGTCAGCTAATGTTGCTATTAGAAGAGAGTTTCTAATATGTCATACATGGTTCAATTTTGAAGGGTATTCGATGTCAGGTTTAAAAAGCTCTCTCGGTGCTGAGGTCCGTAACTACTTAAAACTGGACACCAATTCTGAACTGCACAGCTTTTTTTTCTGTGGTATGACTTGTTTTAAAAGTCATTGATATCATGTGGTGTCTCTTGAAAATAAAAATTTCTTATAACAGTCATGTCTCAATGACTCATTCATCGACATACTTAAGAAAATTAGGCATGCAAATCTGAAAAGAAAAATTTCCTAGAACAGTCATGTCTCAGTGACTCATTCATCGACATACTTAAGAAAATTAGGCATGCAAATCGCAGACCTCCCTCCAAGTGTGTGTCTGTGTCTGAGTGCACCTGTGTCTGCGTGCACAGGCCGGGCGACTTGTCTGTGGGTCTGTGGCATAATAAAAATCTATCTGGGAGACTTGTATGTAATAAGTACATCCAATTACTGTCCTCTAGTTAGGTATAACTAAGGCCTCACATATGAATGCCCTTAGCGACCAGCAGTTATCCTGTCTACGCGCTACATGCCCGGCCCATGTCCATTTCTTCTTCTTGATTTCAGCTATGATATCCTTAACCCCCGTTTGTTCCCTAATCCACTCTGCTCTCTTCTTGTCTCTTAAGGTTACACCTACCATTTTTCTTTCCATTGCTCACTGCGTCGTCCTCAATTTAAGCTGAACCCTCTTTGTAAGTCTCCAGGTTTCTGCTCCATAGCTAAGTACCGGCAAGATACAGCTGTTATATACCTTCCTCTTGAGGGATAGTGGCAATCTACCTGTCATAATTTGAGAGTGCTTGCCAAATGTACTCCACCCCATTCTTATTCTTCTAGTTACTTCAATCTCGTGGTTCGGCTCCGCGGTTATTACCTGCCCTAAGTAGACATAGTCTTTTACAACTTGAAGTGCACTATTACCTATCCCGAAGCGCTGCTCTCTTCCGATGTTGTTTTACATTACTTTCGTTTTCTGCAGATTCATTTTAAGACCCACCTTTCTGCTCTCTTTTGTCTAACTCCGTAATCATGAGTTGCGATTCGTCCCCTGAGTTACTCAGCAATGCAATGTCATCGGCGAAGGGCAGGTTACTAAGGTACTGTCCATTAACTCTTATTCTTAACTGTTCCCATTCTAGGATTCTGAAAACCTCCTGTAAGCACGCGGTAAATAGCATTGGGGAGATTGTCCCCCTGCCTTACACCCTTCTTGATTGGTATTCTGTTGCTTTCCTTATGAAGCACTATGGTAGCAGTTGATCCCCTGTAGATTTCTTCCAGGATGTTTATATATACTTCATCGACGCCCTGATTCCGCAGTGTCTGCATGACGGCTGATATTTCTACTGAATCATACGCCTTCTCGTAATCTATGAAGTCTATGTATAGTGGTTGGTTATATTCTGAGCATTTCTCTATTACCTGATTGATAGTATGAATGTGATCGATTGTTGAGTAGCCTGTTCCAAGTCCTGCTTGTTCCTTTGGTTGATTGAATTCTAATGTTCTTTTTTACTCTGTTAGCAATTACCTTTGTAAATAGCTTGTATACTACAGAGAGCAAGCTGATCGGCCTGTAATTCTTCAAGTCCTTGTCATCTCCTTTCTTATGTATTAAGATGATGTTAGCATTCTTCCAAGACTCTGGTACCCTTCCCGTCAGGAAACACCTCGTAAACAGGTTGGCTAGTTTTTCTAACACAATTTGTCCTCCATCTTTCAGCAGATCTGATGTTACCTGATCCTCACCAGCAGCTTTGCCTCTTTGTATGCTCTCCAAAGCTTTTCTGACTTCTTCTATCATTACTGGTGGGGTGTCATCTGGGTTACTGCTAGTTCTTATAGTATTAAAGTCGTGGTTGTCCCGGCTACTGTACAGATCTCTGTGAAACTCCTCCGCTATTTTAACTATTCTATCCATATTGGTAGTTATTTTGCCTTCTTTGTCCCTTAGTGCATACATCCGATTTTTGCCTATCCCAAGTTTCCCCTTCACTGCTTTGACGGTTCCTCCATTTTTCAGAGCGTGTTCAATTCTCTCCATGTTATACCTTCTTACATCGGATACCTTATGCCTATTAATGAACTTCGAAAGCTCTGCCAGTTCTATTTTGTCTGTTGTACTTGAGACTTTCATGATTTGACGCTTCTTAATGAGATTCTTCGTTTCCTGGGAAAGCTTGCCAGTGTCCTGTCAACTACCCTGCCTCCAAATTCCCCTGCACACTCCGTAATGATACTCATCAGATTATCATTCATTGTATCTATGCTAAGGTTGGTTTTCTCACTAAGAGCCGAGTACCTGTTCTGAAGCGAGACTCTGAATTCCTGTACTTTCCCTCTCAGTGCTAGCTCATTGATTGGCTTCTTGCGTATCAGTTTCTGTTGTTCCTTCCTCAAATCTAGGCAAATTCGAGACCATACCATTCTATGGTCACTGCATCGTACCTTGCCAACCACTTCCACATTCTGCACGATTCCTGGGTGTGCACTCATTATAAAGTCTATTTCGTTCTTATTTTCACCATCAGGGCTCCTCCATGTCCACTTGCGGTTTCCTCGTTTTCGGTAGAAGGTATTCAAAATCCGTAAATTATTGTGTTCTGCGAATTCTACTAGTAGCTCTCCTCTGGCGTTTCTAGTACCGATGCCATAATCTCCTACTGCCTGGTCTTCCTCCCTGT